TTGTTTTTCTCCTCACAGAGTCCTGGCAGCCACAGACACAGACACAGACACAGACACAGTCACAGACACAGTCACAGCCACAGCCACAGACACACAGACACAGACACAGACACAGGCACGGACACAGTCACAGACACTACCACAGACACAGCCACAGACACAGGCACAGATACAGTCACAGACACAGACACAGACACAGTCACAGTCACAGACACAGACACAGACACAGTCACAGACACAGCCACAGACACAGACACAGTCACAGACACAGACACAGTCACAGACACAGCCACAGACACAGACACAGTCACAGACACAGACACAGACACAGATACAGTCACAGACACAGACACAGTCACAGACACAGTCACAGCCACAGACACAGTCACAGCCACAGACACAGACACAGACACAGACACAGACACAGTCACAGAGACAGACACAGCCACAAACACAGCCACAGCCACAAACACAGTCACAGCCACAGACACAGCCACAAACACAGCCACAGACGCAGTCGCAGCCACAGACACAGCCACAGACACAGCCACAAACACAGCCACACACACAGACACAGCCACAGACACAGACGCAGCCACAGACACAGACACAGTCACAGACACAGCCACAGCCACAACCACAGACACAGTCACAGACACAGCCACAGACAGTCACAGACATAGACACAGCCACAGACACAGCCACAGTCACAGACACAGTCACAGACACAGAACACAGACGCACACACAGACACAGTCGCAGACGCAGACACAGAACACAGACAGTCGCAGACACAGACACAGTCACAGCCACAGTCACAGAACACAGACACAGTCACAGACACAGTCACAGACGCAGACACAGTCACAGACACACTCACAGACACAGTCACAGAACACAGACACAGACACAGTCACAGACACAGACAGAGCCACAGACACAGCCACAGTCACAGACACAGTCACAGCCACAGACACAGACACAGTCACAGACACAGTCACAGACACAGCCACAGACACAGTCACAGCCACAGACACAGTCACAGACACAGCCACAGCCACAGACACAGCCACAGACACAGCCACAGTCACAGCCACAGACACAGACACAGCCACAGTCACAGACACAGACACAGTCACAGACACAGCCACAGACACAGACACAGCCACAGTCACAGACACAGCCACAGACACAGTCACAGACACAGACACAGACACAGACACAGTCACAGCCACAGACACAGCCACAGACACAGTCACAGCCACCGACACAGACACAGCCACAGACACAGCCACAGACACAGACACAGACACAGACACAGCCACAGACACAGTCACAGCCACAGTCACAGACACAGACACAGACACACAGACACAGTCCCAGACACAGACACACAGACACAGACACAGTCCCAGACACAGCCACAGTCGCAGACGCAGCCACAGACACAGCCACAGACACAGTCACAGACACAGCCACAGACACAGCCACAACCGCAGACACAGACACAGACACAACCACAGACACAACCACAGACACAGTCACAGACACAGCCACAGACACAGTCACAGATACAGTCACAGACACAGACACAGTCACAGACACAGTCACAGATACAGTCACAGACACAGACACAGTCACAGACACAGTCACAGCCACAGACACAGTCACAGACACAGTCACAGACACAGTCACAGTCACAGCCACAGACACAGACACAGTCACAGACGCAGACACAGACGCAGACACAGTCACAGACACAGTCGCAGCCACAGTCGCAGCCGCAGACGCAGACGCAGTCGCAGACGCAGCCACAGACACAGTCGCAGACGCAGACACAGTCGCAGACGCAGTCGCAGACGCAGCCACAGACACAGTTGCAGACGCAGCCACAGACACAGTCGCAGACGCAGACGCAGCCACAGACACAGTCGCAGACGCAGACGCAGACACAGACACAGACACAGTCACAGACGCAGACACAGACGCAGACACAGTCACAGACGCAGACACAGACGCAGACACAGTCACAGTCACAGACACAGTCGCAGCCGCAGACGCAGTCGCAGCCACACACACAGTCGCAGACGCAGACGCAGACACAGACGCAGACGCAGACGCAGTCGCAGACACAGACACAGTCGCAGACGCAGTCGCAGACGCAGCCACAGACACAGTTGCAGACGCAGACGCAGACACAGTCACAGACACAGACGCAGTCGCAGTCGCAGATGCAGACGCAGTCGCAGCCGCAGACACAGACACAGTCACAGACACAGACACAGAACACAGTCACAGACACAGTCACAGTCACAGACACAGACACAGTCACAGACACACACACAGACACAGTCAGAGACACAGCCACAGTCACAGACACAGTCACAGACACAGACACAAACACAGACACAGACACAGACAGACACAGTCACAGACACACACACAGACACAGTCAGAGACACAGCCACAGTCACAGACACAGCCACAGACACAGACACAGTCACAGACACAGTCACAGACACACACACAGACACAGTCAGAGACACAGCCACAGTCACAGACACAGTCACAGACACACACACAGACACAGACACAGTCACAGACACAGACACAGACACAGACACAGTCACAGACACAGAACACATGTGATAAATGTCATACATGTAGAATGTTAACGTGTCCTGGATCACCACAGTCCTAGTTGGACACTAACTGTCCAACAGACTCCTGCATCAGAGGAAAGGGTTAGGGTTAGAGAAAGGGACCCTCTCAGTGGTGGAGCCGGGGTTTATTTAAAGGGTCCACATTTATACTCTTCAGACATTTTATTTCACACAAAAACTGGCTAAACTATACATTTTAATCTTATCTATAATTCTTTATATAAAGTGAACTGAGTGCACATTTGTAAACTACAAATCAGAAAAGTGCATTTAAACAGTAGTCTGGACAAAACTGCTAAATTACATCATTCAAACATTGCATTTCATTTTTCTTTTAACAAATTTAGCAAATTCCTGCGGTTCTGGTGTAAAGCAGCAAAGATGTTGACATACTCTTCCACAGACACAGCCACAGACACAACCACAGTCACAGCCACAGACACAACCACAGTCACAGACACAGACACAGACACAGACACAACCACAGTCACAGACACAGTCACAGATACAGTCACAGCCACAGCCACAGACACAGACACAGTCACAGATACAGACACAGACACAGATACAGACACAGACACAGCCACAGCCACAGACACAGACACAACCACAGTCACAGCCACAGACACAGACACAGCCACAGTCACAGCCACAGCCACAGACACAGTCACAGATACAGACACAGCCACAGACACAGCCACAGACACAACCACAGTCACAGACACAGCCACAGACACAACCACAGTCACAGACACAGTCACAGATACAGACACAGACACAGCCACAGACACAACCACAGTCACAGACACAGCCACAGACACAACCACAGTCACAGACACAGTCACAGATACAGTCACAGCCACAGACACAGACACAGTCACAGATACAGACACAGACACAGATACAGACACAGTCACAGCCACAGCCACAGACACAGACACAACCACAGTCACAGCCACAGACACAGACACAGCCACAGTCACAGCCACAGCCACAGACACAGTCACAGATACAGACACAGCCACAGACACAGCCACAGACACAACCACAGTCACAGACACAGCCACAGACACAACCACAGTCACAGCCACAGACACAGATACAGACACAGTCACAGCCACAGACACAACCACAGTCACAGCCACAGACACAGATACAGACAAAGTCACAGCCACAGACACAACCACAGTCACAGCCACAGACACAGACACAGCCACAGTCACGCAGGCACGCACACACACATGCATGCACTCCCGCACGCACACACACATGCATGCACTCCCGCACGCACACACACATGCATGCACTCCCGCACGCACACACACATGCATGCACTCCCGCACGCACACACACATGCATGCACTCTCGTACGCACACACACACTAAAAGTAGTACAAACTGAACAAGTAATACGCTGCAGTACGTGTGTCTATACTTGGTGTCAAACGTAAACAGTTGGCTCTGCGTCGCTAACTTACCCCTTTGACCAGTTTAGCCTTCCCTGAGTCTTACCTTCCTAGCCATATGCTAAACTAAAGAGGACTGTTTTAGCCTAGCCTAGAACGTAGGGTTGAAGATGCAGCGGACCAGGTCCAACATACGCAGACTCCAAGAGCGGACGAGACCTGACCGGACAACAACCAAACCAAATGCTAGGTTTAAAAAGAGTGTTTTAAGCCTGGCCTTATGTAGAGACAGTGTCTGCTTCCTTAAAGAGCAACTAAACACCTGTGCCCAGCCTGACTCCGCCCGGGGGCTTAGAGCTGGGCGTGGTCTGGGCTGTGATTGACAGCTCACTAGTCACACAAAAAAAACGTCACACACACCAACTGACGTCACACACACCAACTGACGTCGCACACACCAACTGACGTCGCACACACCAACTGACGTCACACACACACCAACTGACGTCACACACACCAACTGACGTCGCACACACCAACTGACGTCACACACACCAACTGACGTCGCACACACCAACTGACGTCACACACACCAACTGACGTCACACACACCAACTGACGTCACACACACACCAACTGACGTCGCACACACCAACTGACGTCACACACACCAACTGACGTCACACACACCAACTGACGTCACACACACACCAACTGACGTCACACACACACCAACTGACGTCACACACACCAACTGACGTCACACACACCAACTGACGTCACACACACCAACTGACGTCACACACACCAACTGATGTCACACACACAAACTGACGTCACACACACCAACTGACGTCGCACAAACCAACTGACGTCACACACACCAACTGACGTCACACACACCAACTGACGTCACACACACCAACTGACATCACACACACCAACTGACGTCACGCACACCAACTGACGTCGCGCACACCAACTGACGTCGCACAAACCAACTGACGTCACACACACACCAACTGACGTCACACACACCAACTGACGTCACACACACCAACTGACGTCACACACACCAACTGACATCACACACACCAACTGACGTCACACACACACCAACTGACGTCACACACACCAACTGACGTCACACACACACCAACTGACGTCACACACACACCAACTGACTTCACACACACCAACTGACGTCACACACACACCAACTGACTTCACACACACCAACTGACGTCACACACACACCAACTGACGTCACACACACACCAACTGACGTCGCACTCACCAACTGACGTCGCACACACCAACTGACATCACACACACCAACTGACGTCGCACACACCAACTGACATCACACACACCAACTGACGTCGCACACACCAACTGACGTCTCACACACCAACTGACGTCGCACACACCAACTGACGTCGCACACACCAACTGACGTCACACACACCAACTGACATCACACACACCAACTGACGTCACACACACCAACTGACGTCACACACACCAACTGACGTCACACACACCAACTGACGTCACACACACCAACTGACATCACACACACCAACTGACATCACACACACCAACTGACGTCACACACACCAACTGACGTCACACACACCAACTGACGTCACACACACCAACTGACGTCACACACACCAACTGACGTCACACACACCAACTGACGTCACACACACCAACTGACGTCACACACACCAACTGACATCACGCACACCAACTGACGTCGCACACACCAACTGACGTCGCGCACACCAACTGACGTCACACACACCAACTGACGTCGCACACACCAACTGACATCGCACACACCAACTGACGTCGCACACACCAACTGACGTCACACACACCAACTGACATCACACACACACCAACTGACGTCACACACACACCAACTGACGTCACACACACCAACTAACGTCACACACACCAACTGACGTCTCACACACACCAACTGACGTCGCACAAACCAACTGACGTCACACACACCAACTGACGTCACACACACACACACACACACACCAACTGACGTCACACACACCAACTGACATCACACACACCAACTGACGTCACACACACCAACTGACGTCACACACACCAACTGACGTTACACACACCAACTGACGTCACACACACCAACTGACGTCACACCAACTGACGTCACACAAACCAACTGACATCGCACACACCAACTGACGTCACACACACCAACTGACATCACACACACCAACTGACGTCGCACAAACCAACTGACGTCACACACACCAACTGACGTCGCACACACCAACTGACGTCACACAAACCAACTGACATCGCACACACCAACTGACGTCACACACACCAACTGACGTCACACACACCAACTGACGTCACACACACCAACTGACGTCACACACACCAACTGACGTCACACACACCAACTGATGTCACACACACCAACTGACGTCATACACACCAACTGACGTCACACACACAAACTGACGTCACACACACCAACTGACGTCACACACACCAACTGACGTCACACACACCAACTGACGTCACACACACCAACTGACGTCACACACACCAACTGACGTCACACACATACCAACTGACGTCACACACACCAACTGTGACGTCACACACACCAACTGACGTCACACACACACCAACTGACGTCACACACACCAACTGACGTCACACACACCAACTAACGTCACACACACCAACTGACGTCACACACACCAACTGATGTCACACACACCAACTGACATCACACACACCAACTGACGTCACGCACACCAACTGACGTCGCACAAACCAACTGACGTCACACACACACCAACTGACGTCACACACACCAACTGACGTCACACACACCAACTGACGTCACACACACCAACTGACATCACACACACCAACTGACGTCACACACACACCAACTGACGTCACACACACCAACTGACGTCACACACACACCAACTGACGTCACACACACACCAACTGACTTCACACACACCAACTGACGTCACACACACACCAACTGACTTCACACACACCAACTGACGTCACACACACACCAACTGACGTCACACACACACCAACTGACGTCACACACACCAACTGACGTCACACACCAACTGACGTCACACACCAACTGACGTCACACACACCAACTGACGTCACACACACCAACTGACGTCACACACACCAACTGACGTCACACACACACCAACTGACGTCACACACACCAACTGACGTCGCACACACACCAACTGACATCACACACACCAACTGACGTCGCACACACCAACTGACGTCGCACACACCAACTGACATCACACACACCAACTGACGTCGCACACACCAACTGACGTCGCACACACCAACTGACGTCACACACACCAACTGACGTCACACACACCAACTGACGTCACACACACCAACTGACGTCACACACACCAACTGACGTCACACACACCAACTGACGTCACACACACCAACTGACGTCACACACACCAACTGACGTCACACACACCAACTGACATCACACACACCAACTGACGTCACACACACCAACTGACGTCACACACACCAACTGACGTCACACACACCAACTGACGTCACACACACCAACTGACGTCACACACACCAACTGACGTCACACACACCAACTGACGTCACACACACCAACTGACATCACGCACACCAACTGACGTCGCACACACCAACTGACGTCGCACACACCAACTGACGTCACACACACCAACTGACGTCGCACACACCAACTGACATCACACACACCAACTGACGTCGCACACACCAACTGACGTCGCACACACCAACTGACATCACACACACACCAACTGACGTCACACACACACCAACTGACGTCACACACACCAACTGACGTCACACACACACCAACTGACGTCTCACACACACCAACTGACGTCGCACAAACCAACTGACGTCACACACACCAACTGACGTCACACACACACACACACACCAACTGACGTCACACACACCAACTGACATCACACACACCAACTGACGTCACACACACCAACTGACGTCACACACACCAACTGACGTCACACACACCAACTGACGTCACACACACCAACTGACGTCACACCAACTGACGTCACACAAACCAACTGACATCGCACACACCAACTGACGTCACACACACCAACTGACATCACACACACCAACTGACGTCGCACAAACCAACTGACGTCACACACACCAACTGACGTCGCACACACCAACTGACGTCACACAAACCAACTGACATCGCACACACCAACTGACGTCACACACACCAACTGACGTCACACAAACCAACTGACGTCACACACACCAACTGACGTCGCACACACCAACTGACGTCACACACACCAACTGACGTCACACATACCAACTGACGTCGCACACACCAACTGACGTCACACACACCAACTGACGTCACACACACACCAACTGACGTCACACACACCAATTGACGTCACACACACACCAACTGACGTCACACACACACCACCTGACGTCACACACACCAACTGACGTCACACACACACCACCTGACGTCACACACACCAACTGACGTCACACACACACCAACTGACGTCACACACCAACTGACGTCACACACCAACTGACATCACACACACCAACTGACGTCGCACACACCAACTGACGTCGCACAAACCAACTGACATCGCACACACCAACTGACGTCACACACACCAACTGACGTCGCACACACCAACTGACGTCACACACACCAACTGACATCACACACACCAACTGACGTCATACACACACCAACTGACATCACACACACCAACTGACGTCATACACACCAACTGACGTCGCACAAACCAACTGACATCGCACACACCAACTGACGTCACACACACCAACTGACATCGCACACACCAACTGCAACGCACAAACCAACTGACATCACACACACCAACTGACGTCACACACACCAACTGACGTCACACACACACACACACACACACACACACACACACCTCCTTCTCCTCCTCACCTCCTTTTCACACAGTCACATTAAGATAAAAAACACTTAATTCTAGATTTTATTTCCTCATATTTGATTAGTTTTGCAGTGCACAGAGCACTGTTTTTATGCATTTAATGAAATAGAATGAATCCATAAAACACGGAGCAGGATGATGGAGACATGAGCCAAACACAAAAATAATTGGTTTGACTTTAACTGAACAAAGAATTCATTTCAAAGCAGAAAAATGTGTTGTTTTTCTCTGATCAGAGCGAAACAAACCCTGAAACTGGCCTCGAGCCGTTTCTCTTTGTCTCTGATTCTAAAGTCCTGGGTCTACAGTCTCAGTCCTGGGTCTACAGCCTCAGTCCTGGATCTACAGCCTCAGTCCTGGGTCTACAGCCTCAGTCCTGGGTCTACAGCCTCAGTCCTGGGTCTACAGCCTCAGTCCTGGGTCTACAGCCTCAGTCCTGGGTCTACAGCCTCAGTCCTGGGTCTACAGCCTCAGTCCTGGGTCTACAGCCTCAGTCCTGGGTCTACAGCCTCAGTCCTGGATCTACAGCCTCAGTCCTGGGTCTACAGCCTCAGTTCTGGGTCTACAGCCTCAGTTCTGGGTCTACAGCCTCAGTCCTGGGTCTACAGCCTCAGTCCTGGGTCTACAGCCTCAGTCCTGGGTCTACAGCCTCAGTCCTGGGTCTACAGCCTCAGTCCTGGGTCTACAGCCTCAGTCCTGGGTCTACAGCCTCAGTCCTGGGTCTACAGCCTCAGTTCTGGATCTACAGCCTCAGTCCTGGGTCTACAGCCTCAGTCCTGGGTCTACAGCCTCAGTCCTGGGTCTACAGCCTCAGTCCTGGGTCTACAGCCTCAGTTCTGGATCTACAGCCTCAGTCCTGGGTCTACAGCCTCAGTTCTGGATCTACAGCCTCAGTCCTGGGTCTACAGCCTCAGTCCTGGGTCTACAGCCTCAGTTCTGGATCTACAGCCTCAGTCCTGGGTCTACAGCCTCAGTCCTGGGTCTACAGCCTCAGTCCTGGATCTACAGCCTCAGTCCTGGGTCTACAGCCTCAGTCCTGGGTCTACAGCCTCAGTCCTGGGTCTACAGCCTCAGTCCTGGGTCTACAGCCTCAGTCCTGGGTCTACAGCCTCAGTTCTGGATCTACAGCCTCAGTCCTGGGTCTACAGCCTCAGTCCTGGGTCTACAGCCTCAGTCCTGGGTCTACAGCCTCAGTCCTGGGTCTACAGCCTCAGTCCTGGGTCTACTGCCTCAGTCCTGGGTCTACAGCCTCAGTCCTGGGTCTACAGCCTCAGTCCTGGGTCTACAGCCTCAGTCCTGGATCTACAGCCTCAGTCCTGGGTCTACAGCCTCAGTCCTGAATCTACAGCCTCAGTCCTGGGTCTACAGCCTCAGTCCTAGGTCTACAGCCTCAGTCCTGAATCTACAGCCTCAGTCCTGGATCTACAGCCTCAGTCCTGGATCTACAGCCTCAGTCCTGGGTCTACAGTCTCAGTCCTGGGTCTACAGCCTCAGTCCTGGGTCTACAGCCTCAGTCCTGGGTCTACAGCCTCAGTCCTGGGTCTACAGTCTCAGTCCTGGGTCTACAGCCTCAGTCCTGGGTCTACAGCCTCAGTCCTGGGTCTACAGTTCTTGTCATTGAGCGTCTTGTGCGCTTCTCAAACTGGGGGGTGTGTCCTTCCTCCTCAAACCATGTGTGAGCTCCTCCTGGTCCCGGTCTGTTCTGGTCCCTGCTCTGCGCCTCCTCTCGTCTTCTGAAAGTGTCTCGATTCTTCATCTTCTTGGTTCTCGTCTGTCTCGGCTCCTGTCAAAGAACTAACATTGAACTTGTGGGAAACGGTCTTCCATCGCCACGACGACGTGTCACTCTGCACGGATGAAAGCGCTCAGGGCGGGAGTATGTGCGCCGCGGGGAGAAGCCATTTCAAGCACATCTCATTCTTCACACCTCGTCTACAGACAAACGTATGAATGTGTGAATGTGTGTGTTCAGTCGGTGCATAATCCTCCATAACAGGTGAAAAGACTAATCCAGCGTCTCATCCTCGGAATGCTTCATGTTTTAACGACTAATACAAAGCTTTGTTGTTTCCAAATGGCTTCAATTCAAATAAAATAAAATAAATAATCTCTCCGCTCTCTCTCTGGTCTCTCTGGTCTCTCTCTGGTCTCTCTCTCTGGTCTCCCTCTGGTCTCTCTCTGGTCTTTCTCTCTAGTCTCTCTCTGGTCTCTCTCTAGTCTCTCTCTAGTCTCTCTCTAGTCTCTCTCTGGTCTCTCTCTGGTCTCTCTCTGGTCTCTCTCTCTGGTCTCTCTCTGGTCTCTCTCTCCGCTCTCTCTCTGGTCTCTCTCTCTGGTCTCCCTCTGGTCTCTCTCTGGTCTCTCTCTGGTCTCTCTCTGGTCTCTCTCTGGTCTCTCTCTCTGGTCTCTCTCTGGTCTCTCTCTCTCTGGTCTCTCTCTGGTCTCTCTCTGGTCTCTCTCTGGTCTCTCTCCGCTCTCTCTCTCTGGTCTCTCTCTGGTCTCTCTCTGGTCTCTCTCTGGTCTCTCTCTGCTCTCTCTCTCTGCTCTCTCTCTGGTCTCTCTCTGGTCTCTCTCCGCTCTCTCTCCGCTCTCTCTCTGGTCTCTCTCTGGTCTCTCTCTCTGGTCTCTCTCTGGTCTATCTCTGGTCTCTCCCTGGTCTCTCTCTGGTCTCTCTCTGGTCTCTCTCTCTGGTCTCTCTCCACTCTCTCTCTGGTCTCTCTCTGGTCTCTCTCTCTGGTCTCTCTCCACTCTCTCTCTGGTCTCTCTCTCTGGTCTCTCTCCACTCTCTCTCTGGTCTCTCTCTCTGGTCTCTCTCTGGTCTCTCTCTCTGGTCTCTCTCCACTCTCTCTCTGCTCTCTCTCTGGTCTCCCTCTGGTCTCTCTCTGGTCTCTCTCTCCGCTCTCTCTCTCTGGTCTCTCTCCGCTCTCTCTCTGGTCTCTCTCTCCGCTCTCTCTCTCTGCTCTCTCTCTGCTCTCTCTCTCTGCTCTCTCTCTGCTCTCTCTCTCTGCTCTCTCTCTCTGAAAAGACTAATCCAGCGTCTCATCCTCGGAATGCTTCATGTTTTAACGACTAATACAAAGCTTTGTTGTTTCCAAATGGCTTCAATTAAAATAAAATAAAATAAATAATCTCTCCGCTCTCTCTCTGCTCTCTCTCTCTGGTCTCTCTCTGGTCTCTCTCTGGTCTCTCTCTGGTCTCTCTCTGCTCTCTCTCTGGTCTCTCTCTGGTCTCTCTCTGGTCTCTCTCTCTGGTCTCTCTCTGGTCTCTCTCTCTCTGGTCTCTCTCTGGTCTCTCTCTGGTCTCTCTCTGGTCTCTCTCTGGTCTCTCTCTGCTCTCTCTCTCTGGTCTCTCTCTGGTCTCTCTCTGGTCTCTCTCTGGTCTCTCTCCGCTCTCTCTCTCTGGTCTCTCTCTGGTCTCTCTCTGGTCTCTCTCTGGTCTCTCTCTGCTCTCTCTCTGGTCTCTCTCTGCTCTCTCTGCTCTCTCTCTCTGGTCTCTCTCTGGTCTCTCTCTGCTCTCTCTCTCTCTGGTCTCTCTCTGGTCTCTCTCTCTGGTCTCTCTCTGGTCTCTCTCTCTCTGGTCTCTCTCTGGTCTCTCTCTGGTCTCTCTCCGCTCTCTCTCTCTGGTCTCTCTCTGGTCTCTCTCTGGTCTCTCTCTGGTCTCTCTCTGGTCTCTCTCTCTGCTCTCTCTCTGGTCTCTCTCAGTCTCTCTGGTCTCTCTCTGGTCTCTCTCCGCTCTCTCTCCGCTCTCTCTCTGGTCTCTCTCTGGTCTCTCTCTCTGGTCTCTCTCCACTCTCTCTCTGGTCTCTCTCTCTGGTCTCTCTCCACTCTCTCTCTGGTCTCTCTCTCTGGTCTCTCTCCACTCTCTCTCTGGTCTCTCTCTCTGGTCTCTCTCCACTCTCTCTCTGGTCTCTCTCCACTCTCTCTCTGGTCTCTCTCCGCTCTCTCTCCGCTCTCTCTCTGGTCTCTCTCTGGTCTCTCTCTGGTCTCTCTCTCTGGTCTCTCTCCACTCTCTCTCTGCTCTCTCTCTGGTCTCCCTCTGGTCTCTCTCTGGTCTCTCTCTCCGCTCTCTCTCTCTGGTCTCTCTCCGCTCTCTCTCTGGTCTCTCTCTGGTCTCTCTCTGGTCTCTCTCTGGTCTCTCTCTCTGGTCTCTCTCTCTGGTCTCTCTCCGCTCTCTCTCTCTGCTCTCTCTCCGCTCTCTCTCTGCTCTCTCTCTGGTCTCTCTCTGCTCTCTCTGCTCTCTCTCTCTGGTCTCTCTCCGCTCTCTCTCTCTGCTCTCTCTCTGGTCTCTCTCCGCTCTCTCTCTGCTCTCTCTCTCTGAAAAGACTAATCCAGCGTCTCATCCTCGGAATGCTTCATGTTTTAACGACTAATACAAAGCTTTGTTGTTTCCAAATGGCTTCAATTAAAATAATGTTGGACGTGGAGGCTCCGAGTAAACATCAGTTATCGTTTATTTATCCGAGGAATTCATAAAAGTCATTAAAAAGATTTGGACTTATTCATTTGAGTGTTTTTGTATCGCCCTAAATCACAACAGTACTTTTCTCCAAGGACTTTAAAGGAGCAGTGTGTAAACATGTGGCCAACAGTGGTACTGCAGCCTCTCCCACTCTCCCTGACTCAGGTTGCCAGATATGCAGACGAATCCAGCTGGGACCATAACAGCTGAATAGACAAGAGTTTAGTCAACAACAAATCTATAACCAACACCTTTTTCACAAAGATAGAAATCCTGGTTTTATTCCTTGTTTTGTCGTTAATGATTTGAGAATCATAACGAGACCTTTTTTAGTTCTGCGCCACATGGTACTTTACCAGTGAGATTAGCTCCACATGGTACTTTACCAGTGAGATTAGCTCCACATGGTGAGTTCTCATCAGTTAAAGAAGTATTGGAAAAGAGCAGTTTATTATTAGGACAGATCTCTAGTCTCTCTCTGGTCTCTCTCTGGTCTCTCTCTGGTCTCTCTCTGGTCTCTCTCTGGTCTCTCTCTGGTCTCTCTCTGGTCTCTCTCTGGTCTCTCTCTGGTCTCTCTTTGGTCTCTCTCTGGTCTCTCTCTGGTCTCTCTCCGGGTCTCTCTCTGGTCTCTCTCTGCTCTCTTTCTGGTCTCTCTCTGGTCTCTCTCCGCTCTCTCTCTGGTCTCTCTCTGGTCTCTCTCCGCTCTCTCTCTGCTCTCTCTCTGCTCTCTCTCTGCTCTCTCTCTGCTCTCTCTCTGCTCTCTCTCCGCTCTCTCTCTCTCCGCTCTCTCTCTCTCTGCTCTCTCTCTGCTCTCTCTCTCCGCTCTCTCTCTCTCCGCTCTCTCTCTCCGCTCTCTCTCTCTGGTCTCTCTCCGCTCTCTCCGCTCTCTCTCTCCGCTCTCTCTCTCTGCTCTCTCTCTCCGCTCTCTCTCCGCTCTCTCTCTCTGCTCTCTCTCTCTCCGCTCTCTCTCTCTCCGCTCTCTCTCCGCTCTCTCTCTCTGCTCTCTCTCTCTCCGCTCTCTCTCTCTCCGCTCTCTCTCCGCTCTCTCTCTGGTTTAGCTCTGAACATACCAAGTGCGTTCCGATCCGCGGTGTTAGCATGAGGCGCTGTCAGTCGCCCGGTACCGGGTTAGTCTGATTCTGTCTCCTCCCGCTCTTCATGTCCCCCTAAACAAACAAGCGCCTCCTGAGCGGCGCCTTGTCATCTCACCGACTCCTGGCGCCCGTGGCCTACTTTCCCGGATCACAGACGCAGATCTAAAAATGGCATCTCTGTGACATGTGAAGGAAGAGGCCGTGGGGGGCGGGATCAAGGAGCCAGGGCGCCACGGAACCACTGCGGCGAGACGGTGAAGGACGGTGGAGCTACCAGACCTCAGCCCGGCTTCAAGATGGAGGATCAGGAGTTGTTTCCATGACGACAGGTGGAAATGTGTGTGTGTTCTGTGGTTATGGGAGTTTAAAAATACACTGAGACTTTTATCAGCTGATGAAAAGTTCTGTCTGCGTGTGTGTGTGTGTGTGTGTGTGTGTGTGTGTGTGTGTGTGTGTGTGTGTGTGTGCGTGTGTGTGCGTGTCTGTATCTCTGTCTGCGTCTGTGTGTGTGTGCGTGTGTGTATGTGTATGTGTGTGTTTTTGTGTCTGTGTGTCTATACATGTGTCTGTGTCTGTGTGTGTGTTTGTGTGTGTGTCTGTATCTTTGTGTGTGTGCGTGTCAATGTCTGTGTGTGTGTGTCTGTATCTTTGTGTGTGTGTGTGTTTCTCATAGAACATTGTATACTACTCTATGTACTGCACAGAAGCATGTGTGCCCCAGCGGCAAAACTAGATTGGTCCAAGAAATATATTTAATTTTTTTTTTAATGAAAATAAATTAATATACATTTAATTAATCATATTTTAAAAATATTTTCAATTTCATCATAATTCACCTCCAGTGCATGAAATCTGAATACATCCATCGTTTTGTCTGTTAAAATGGAACATGACATAAGAGGCCTAAGCAGGGCAGGGCCTGGTCAGTGCTGTGATGGGAGACCTCTGAGAACAGCAGGAGCCACAGTGGGGCGGCTGTAAAGTGCCAAACTGTGGCTGTGTCCTTAGGCAAGACACTTCCCCCACATCAGAATGAGTCTGGTGTGTGTGTGAATGGTTGGTGGTGGTGGGAGGGGCCAATGGCACAGACTGGTTGCCTCGCTTCTGTCAGTGTGCCCCAGGGCAGCTGTGGCTACAGTAGTTTATCACCACTGTGTTTGGAGAGACAGAATAATGAAGAGACTTTGAGCCTCTGAAGAGAGTCGTATTAAAGTGGACATATCGTGTTTTAAAATAATAGATTTTTACATCTAAATCATTAATTTGTGGCCTATATAAAGCGTAACTGCAATGCCTGTGTCTGAGTCTCATTATTTGTAGCTCCACGGGCCTTTCTTCTACACCTGTTCTGAGGTGCGTCTGAGAGCAACCTGTTTTGGTGCTGTCTCTTTAAATGCAAATGAGGCGCTTTTGACCACGCCCCCATCCAGGTGACACAGGTTCAACACCACCCCGAGCGGCCATTTTTGTAGTTATTAAGCACAGATACAATTATCTCATAGAAACTTCTCATTACATCACAAACATGAAGCAGTCCTTCCTCATTGACTGAAAGCAAATGTTAAGTTTCATTCTTAGTCCAGTCTTTTTATCGACTCCATGTCTATGATGCTCACACGCCGGTTTGTTTACAACAGCAGCCGCCTGGCGTGGGCCTACGTCGCAGGATAAGACGCACTACGTTGACAGAAATGTTTAAATTGAATATTACTTATGCACAATTTTACAGCATTTAAAAACGTTAAGAACGTTTTTCCTTCTACAGAAGGAAAAAGACACATGCACCTCCGGAGCCGCAGGTTGCAGACTCCTGGTTTATACAGTATGTGGAAGCAAATACTGTAGAGGATCAGGATATGTGCAGTTTCAACAATAAAATAAAATGCAATAGTCTACATTAAAGAGAGTAATAAACATGTCTCAGAGTGAGGGAGGTGGACACAGACAACACTATTGTTTGTTACAGGGATGAGAATTGGTCAAAAAAGACTGAAATGCATATTGTCAGCCATTTGCTGGCTCTAAATCTGTTTAATTTGTTCACAACATATTACTTTTGGGCTCAAACATGAACTTTTAATGCAATGCAAAATGTAGGTATCAGAGCTTTATTTAGGGCGTTTAATCGCGCTTCGAGAGGAGAGGGGAGACGCGGACTGTTTCCTGCAGCAGTGTATTTATTGGGTGCACAGATTACTCAAAGACACGCATGGTCCTGTGTTTATGGGGTTGGGTACATGGCCACGTTGAGGCTGCGCTCAGCCACAACACGGTGGAGCGGCGGCGAGCGGCTGGACGCTCACAGCCTCTCGCAGCCGCTGGACGCTCACAGCCTCTCGCAGCCGCTGGACGCTCACAGCCTCTCACAGCCGCTGGACGCTCACAGCCTCTCGCAGCCGCTGGACGCGGAAGCTGCTCATTACAAAGCGGCCGCAGATGCCCCGGAACACTGCGGCCGCTGAGGTGGCAGAATCCCGTTCGAGTACATACAGCAGGTGCCCCGCGGATACGCGCACCCCGCTCGAACAATTCTCAACGGATTTACACTTCTCATAAACATGTGTTTATTATGAGGCAGACAGACCGGCCCAAATATGGGCATCGGCCCTTTGGGCATTGCCCGGTACGCCCGATGGCCAGTCCAGTCCTGTTCGCTGGCATCCTTGAGCTTGGACTACAAATGAAGTGATGCACAGTAGAGGAGGGCTGGGCCGAAGTGTTTTGTTAGACGCCCATGCCCTTATATGGCAGTCTCGCTGCAAATACTGTGACGTAATAATTCTAAACACGTAATCGAGAATGGCAAAATCAGAACGGGTTGAAAAATCTTACCTAAACAGAATATGATGAAGAGACTGATTTTCAACTTTTTTGCACTTCTGGAGGCTCCAACTACACAACATCAGGCATTTAAGACACAAAAAGTGGATTTTTCATGATATGTCCCCTTTAAAGGAATAGGCACCGTGTTTACACACTGACACATGTTCTTACCTTAGACTAGTTGATATGTACCTGTCTGGTCTGTGTCCGTGTGCTCTGTCATGCAAACTCCTACAGACTTCTCTCCTGTTCACTTCCGTCAATAGAAGCAGCGTGAGCGGGAGAGAAGTCTTTGGGAGTTAGTTCGCGGACGTAGCGCTCCTCGTATTATTACGCCTCACAATATAGTTCCCCTTTTTATCCGCTGAGAAAATGGACATGTTACATTTCTGTGTTACTATACTTTGTAGAGTAACACGTCACGTAACTGTATTTAAATAGGGAACACGTGGAAGAGTTTGGGAGCTTCTAACGGGAGCTGATTTGGAACTATACAGTCTGTGGAAGAGGCTGTGTTTGTGCTGCGTTTGCCTGACAGAGCACACAGACAAAGACCAGACAGGTACATATCAACTAGTCTGAGGTAAGAACATGTGTCAGGATGTAAACACGGAGGCCTGTTCCTTTAAACTGATGCATAATAATAATTCTTTCCTCCACGTCTCACCGTCTTCTCAGAGTTGGTCCGACTTAACCGTTTGTCCTCGTTCCCTCGAAGTGCGATGGTCTCAGAACCTGCAGCTCTGAGGTTTTCCAAATGTCACGTCTCGATCCTGCGACCGGCCTTTCTGAGAACTGACCTTTCAAAGCTATTTGCTGTGACCTATTTATAGCCCAGTATTGGATCGGGACGTTTTCCTGAGTCTTCACTTCATCTAAAAGCTCGTTCTGCGTCTCTGTGGTCTCAGTGTGAAGAGGTGCTGTGGTCTCTCATGTCTCTGTGGTCTCGATGTGAAGAGGTGCTGTGGCCTCTCATGTCTCTGTGGTCTCGGTGTGAAGAGGTGCTGTGGTCTCTCATGTCTCTGTGATCTCGGTGTGAAGAGGTGCTGTGGTCTCTCATGTCTCTGTGATCTCGGTGTGAAGAGGTGCTGTGGCCTCGCATGTCTCTGTGGTCTCGATGTGAAGAGGTGCTGTGGTCTCTCATGTCTCTGTGGTCTCGATGTGAAGAGGTGCTGTGGCCTCTCATGTCTCGATGATCTCGGTGTGAAGAGGTGCTGTGGCCTCTCATGTCTCGATGATCTCGGTGTGAAGAGGTGCTGTGGTCTCTCATGTCTCTGTGGTCTCAATGTGAAGAGGTGCTGTGGTCTCTCATGTCTCTGTGGTCTCGATGTGAAGAGGTGCTGTGGTCTCTCATGTCTCTGTGGTCTCGATGTGAAGAGGTGCTGTGGTCTCTCATGTCTCTGTGGTCTCGATGTGAAGAGGTGCTGTGGTCTCTCATGTCTCTGTGGTCTCGATGTGAAGAGGTGCTGTGGTCTCTCATGTCTCTGTGGTCTCGATGTGAAGAGGTGCTGTGGTCTCTCATGTCTCTGTGGTCTTGGTGTGAAGAGGGGCTGTGATCTCTCATGTCCTGTGTGGTCTCGATGTGAAGAGGTGCTGTGGCCTCTCATGTCTGTGTGGTCTCGATGTGAAGAGGTGCTGTGGTCTCTCATGTCTCTGTGATCTCGGTGTGAAGAGGTGCCTCACGAACGGCAGGATAACAAGGCCCAGTTGGACTCACTCCTGCGCTGATATCCAACAGATCCAGTGAGGTGGATGCAAAAACAACTTCCTTCAGCAAGAACTCAGACAAAACTGAATGATTGGTCTTTGGTCCCCAGAAAACAAAGAGAGAGCGTCATCAGTCACCTACAGTCTCTCTCCCCTAAAACCTCAAACAAGGCAGAAATCAGGGGTAATACTGACTCAGACTTAAATTTTAATAGCCAGCATCAAATCAGTAACATCAGACAGCTATTTTAAAAAACCATCTAAAAAACATTTCCATGATCAAAAACATAGTGTCAAAAGCAGACTTGGAGATTCTTATTCCATGCTAATTTGTCTCCAGTAGGTTAACTAACTGCAGATGGCCTGCTCACAGGTCTGTCCAAACAGGCTGTACAAAGCTGCAGGTAACATTCAAAATGCAGCAGCCTCGAGTCCTGACAAGAACCAGTAAGTACGACCATATTAGTCCGGGGCGGTCCTCAGGTCTCTGCACTGCTTCCTTCCTGTGGCTCAGAGAATAGAACTTAAAAAACAGCTTTTGCTTGTGTACAAGTCTCTCCATGGGCCCGCACCAAAATATATTAGTGACAATGTTAGTCCCATATGAACCAGCCCCGGACTCTGAGGAGCACAGGGACTGGACTTCCTGTTAGGCCCCGAGTCGAACTAAACATGGGAGGCTGCTTTTCCAGATTCAAGTGCTAAAATCTGGAAACAATCTACCTGAAGAATGTGAGCCAGAGAGGCCACCTCATCAGGACAATGTTTAAAACCAAGTTAAAAACTGTGCATGTTTAGCTGTGCAAACAACTGAGGGAATTTAAATTTTTTACTTCTTTTTAATGTTCTTTTGATTATTTATGATTTAAAATAGCTATCTTGTTCAGCACTTTGAGTTGCCTTGTGTATGAATGTGCAATACAAATAAACTGCCTTGCCTTTGCCTTGCCCTTGCCAGTTGCCTTGCCTAACCCTAACCGCCCTGATTACAAAAGCCTACAAACTTAACCATCACCTGATTTGTATTGCCTAAAACTAAACCATTCCTATGTTGAAACAAAACATCAATATAAAAAACCTAGCCCCAACCCGAAACATAAAACCTAACCTTAACCACTTGGAGATAAACATCTAAAACATAACCATCGCCCTGTGCATAATAAAGTTAAATTCACCCAGAAACAATTCCACGAACACCATTGCTTCAAGAACATTTTTATTAAAAGGAGAAAAACATCACAGACAACTGTAATACCAACAATAAAAAACAGCAAAATATAGATACATAGAAACTGCACCGTAGGCCCAGACAATTGTCACACATGACCATCATTGCATACCACCTGACGGAAGGAGGCGCGCATTAGCGCAAGGGGGCGTGCCCCATCAAAAAAGCCAACTCCACCTGCTGCTCCTCATCAAGTCTGTGTGTGAGGCCTGAGGAAGAGGACGGACCTTACTCCGTCGAAACGTTGGCCACGCTTAACACACAGACTTGAAAAAAAGAAAAAAAGTGACTACCTTCACAGAGAAAAAGTTACCAACCTTATAGACCAACATGTCTATAACTTGACCATGAGGGAAGACTGGCCTGGGTCAAAACCAAACATTCTTTCCTTCCAACGACCCAGGACCACCCAGTATAGATTGGAGGGGCCCAGTGCCAACAACTCCTCGTTCTTTCAGAGAGACACCCACCCGCACGCTAGTCTGACGACGCCCGGGGCCTCCACCATCTTACTGGGGCCCCTACCATAGCAGAACCTCGCTTTCGCACCTATGCAGATGTCACTCGAACCAGAACAACACAAGCCAGACCATATAGACCCGACACATCCTACCGGTATAACGAACTGTACAATGAAGGAAGAGAACGGGTCTCAGAAACGAACCGAGAGGCACCGCCTTCCCAATATGCAAATTACCGCAATGAACAACCACCACTATGAACCGCTTGATCCAGATCTCACGCCGAACTGGACAAGACCCTATGACACCGTGTAAATAAGTCATACATCATCTTCAAAAAGTATCCCCAAAAACAGGAAAGGACGAACCAAGAATGATAGCCCAAATGACTTTCACAACTTGCAACCCTAGATAAAGCCCGGCCTCCCACCACACGCACCCAAGAACTGATCGCAGGAAATGCAAAAAATTGGGGGTTACACTAACCAGCCTGATTCTGGACCAGCACTATACGTGAGACGTTGGCACAATTTACAATCCCAACAACTCAGTAATGAATTACCCGATGGACTGGAAAACCAGCATTTATCATCTGCCACCACGTGGGCACGACGGAATCTGCCGCGTATCACACAGGCGGAGATTGACCACGCAGGAAGTGGTCATCACAGGCTGTAGAAATGGAAAACACATCTCCACTGATGGGAATTCAACCCCAGCGGCCCCTTACAAGCACACATAACAGATTAAACCAATAAAACCACAAAACCCTCCCCTGAGGGAACCCAGACAGACGTAAGTGAAGACAGGAAACATCCACCGCCAGCACCACGGAGAGACGACTCCACTTGTTACTCCCTCTCACCAACACCCAACACAAAACCGGCTTCATCGGTGCTCAAAACTCGACAGTCAATTCAAAACGACCAAACCTCCACCTCAGAAACACCACACATTCACAAAACCAAACAATGGGAACAAATAATACAGGAGATTAAATGAGGAACAAGGAACAGACACCCCAAACCCAAAACCCACAAGCGAATGCAGATTCAATAATGAGAACACTATGTCAGCCAGCCGTATGCCCAACCTGGCAGGCACTAGATGAAAGCTACACAAGCCACTATGCGGAACCACCCCCTAATACCTCCCCCCCTACAGGGAGGAGAGGTCCTCCCCCACCCAACCTATAGCCTCCTGCTGGACCAGGACGAATCCCAGGAAATGGGGATCAAACCCCAATCTCCCAACACCCACGATCGACCATACGACCAAGAAGCCTAACTCCAAAATGCCGGGGACCCTCACCCACCGGGCCCTCACCCGCTCACCCACCATCCACACCCATGAACCCACCCACACCCACCAAACCAAGACCCGTTACTAACCCAAGAGTACATATTAGAACACAAGGAAAATAAAAAACTGGACTACTTCACCATTGAAAAAAACAAAGTGGGTTTATAATAGAGATTCCAACATACGCAATTCCCTTATGCGGCCACTCAATTCCTGACCTCCAAATTGAATTTTACCCCCGGGGGAAACTTCAGGCACATTGCTGCCACCCTTAAACTCTGCCATACAAAATACAAGAATGGAAAAACTAGTCCTAGCCTTTGCATCAATGCACAGGGACCAGGCAAGCAGAGAACACAAAACAGCAATAAAACAAATGCAAACAGCCAATCAGGACCGCCAAAAGACGCTTCCCCTAGTCTCAGAAAATCTGGATCCCCCCGCCATAACCTGCTGCCGGAATCACCCACATCATCAACAAGACACCATCCAAAGAATGAATGACTACACATTAGAAACATAGGACACATCCCAGCCCCTGCCTGCTACCTCTTTCAAACCGAAGACATGATGACATTGGACAAAACCTACAGCAAATATAATATTCAAACTTGGACCAGCTTTTAAACTTCACAGCCCCCGGAGAGCTCTGACCTAAGAGGGGCAAACTCCAACACTACAATCAAATGTTAATGGTCTTAACCAAACACATGCAACCCACCCATCACCCAATTACAAATCTTAACAAAAGGACTGACTTTCATAACCCACACCGGGACTTTTCGCAAAGAATCAAAAACAAAAACAACATTACAAATAGACATTCAACAAAACCACAGAAAATTAAATTACTTAACCTTTTTCCACCCACCCAGAGGGAGCCATCACACAAGAAAAGACTCTTCAGACCACCAGTCCACTTGGAGCCCGGAGCCCCGCAAACTGTCTATGCTACCCCCAGAAGATACTCATACCTTATTAAAGCAACCTCAAACGCCCTGGAGGAACAACACAAACCAAGAAGAGAAGCACAAAATTTCACTAACAGAAGAGGAACAAGCCCTAAAAGATTTAGATTAAACGGAAAGACATAGTGATTAAACCTGCCGACAAAGGAAACACCCCATTTATCATGGACAGAGAAACCATACACACAAGAAGCTTCTACGACAACTAAAACACCACTCAATATTATAAGTAAATTGGGAATTCACGCACCCATAACCCGATACAATACAACACTATAAGACACATTTTTGACGACCACTCCACAAACTAAAATACATAGACTCAAAACAGAATAATATTAAAGGGGGACCACGAACCCAGACCCAGACTAATTTACATGCTTCCAAAAAAAATACATAAAGAACCCACGGACATGGACCCATATACCCTACGAAATCCCCCCAAGGTAGACCTAATCATCTCAGACTGCTCCAAGCGAAACATATCGATCAGCGAATACCTGGAACATTATCTCCACCCACTCTCTATCAAACACCCAGCATATCTACAAAGACACAATCACTTTATCAACATCATCAAAAACACTAAAATAACCTCTACTATGTTACTCCCATTTTCCTTTCACCATAGGACACCGATTCCGACTCCCTCTAACTAACATTGACACCCCCTCAGGCTTGGCTGCAGTACGAAATATGAAGAATAAACAACCCTGACCCTACCAGACCGTGCGGACACACAAATACTTCACCTCCTTGAAATAAACCTGACCCGGAATGATTTTTGATTTCGATGAAGAATAAATATTTACAGATTAAAGGCACAGCCATGGGCAAGAAATTCGCTCCATCAGTACCAAACATATTTAAGGCAGACTGGTAGACAAAAGCACTGGAACAATGCTCCATCAAACCCATAACAATATCACGATACCTGGACGCTATTTTCCGTAATTATGACTTCATCAGCAAACGGACGTGACACACTTCAAGATACCAAAACCCCTGGACCTCCTTCGACCCCTCCATCAAACAAAATATTATACAACCCACAAAAAGTGGAACTTCTTGACACAACAGTAACCGAGGAAGCTAGGCCCTTCATTTGAACACACTCAAACCCGACATAAAAGTATTTTTCAAAGATAACGACACTCATTAACTCCTTCCACAAAACAAGCTTCCACCCAAACATACATGCAAGGGACCTGATAAAATCACACTCACCCGATTCAAACGTATATTGACACAACACACAACTTTCTGCAACAGTTCAAGACCCTATTTGGAAGCCCTAAGACACCGAGGCTAATTCCCCCGCTCATTCTTACGGCAGTGCCTAGCCACATTCGATAACAACAAAATAAAGACAACAAAATACGACACCATCGAATTACGTGCATTTATTTCCCACGTACTCCACACCAGCAATTAAAAATACCCCCCCAATATCAAAACAACATTTACATTTTATTTCTAACCAAGACTTTTACCAGACCACAGGATGATAGCAGCATCCAGAAGGAACCCCGAATCTAAAGGACTATTTAGTCAGAGCCAAACTTGTATCACTACAGAAACTGTAAGGAAGCCCAACCCACAAAAAAGAACATTTTTTGCATTAAATCTGAAATATATCAAAAACCATGTCCCGACAACCTGTACCATAAAATCACAACAACCTTCCAACCAGAAACCCCGGAACTGCGCATCTACTCCTTCTTCTGCACTAAATGTGAGAAAGACAATAAAATATAGGGGAAACTAAAGATTCCCTCGTTAACAAACAAATGATTTCAATACAAATACATCCCTGATAAGGAGAAAAGGCTTCCACAACCCCACTACAAATAACACAGTAATTAACAATGGAATAGAACAATCAGAATCAACAGAGACTAGAATACAAAACTCCACTTGGCAGAACAAAGAAAGAACAAAAGAAACAGAAACTTGGATTCAGTTGCTCAACACCAGAGACCCCACACGGATTAACAGGAAACATCAATGATTCACAAACACATAACACGCCCGGCACACACACACACCACGTCACACACACAACAACACACACACACACACACACACAACACACAACACACAACACACCAACACACACACAGGACAACACACATAACACACACACACACACACACACACACACACACACACACACCACACACACACCCACACACACCCACACACACACAAACGACACACACACACACACACACACACACACACACACACACCACACAACATACACACATACACACACGCATACACACACATACACCTACACACACACACACAGGAAACAGTAATAAACCTGCACAGAATTAGAAACACAAAGAAATCATACTTACCATTGTTAAAACAAAAGGATAATCCAACCACCACACACACTAACACTGAAAAACATGAAACCTAATACAGCCTTAAACATCAAACAACCTGAAAGAAAGAACATATAGAGTACTTTACATACACCACAACCAGATATGAACTGGCAAAATAACCAGGAAGGACAAGCATACACCAGGAAGTGAAATTGAACATGGAAACAAATCACAAACCTGAACAATATAATACCTATACCACACCTTTAAACCGGACCCCGAAGAGTCTCACTAACATCCAGAAGGAGCAGAAAATCTAATCAAAGGCCAAAAATTAACCACTCCTGTTCCCAAAGCCTAAACCTAACACGCCCCGTACACAAAAACCTAAAACTTAACCATCCCTTGATCTTTTAAATGCCGATAAACTAACCACTGTCCTGTTCCAAATGCCTAAAACCTAACCCGCCCTGGACACAAAAAGCCTAAAAAAAACTTAACCATCCCTGATTCCTTTAAATGCCAAAACCTTATCCATTCTGTCCAAAATGGCTACACCCCGTATGGCCCACTGCCAAATATAGATGGAAAAATGAGAAGTTTGAGCCGTCTGTATCAGCTAAATACATTCCTACTCAATGAGTGTTCCCAACGCAGAGGACTTCGCTTCAATGAAAAACTTTAATCTGTTCTGGTATAGGCACGTGCCTATTGAAGAAAAAGTCCACATCTGAACAACTCTGAGTAAAAAGTGTTGATGGATAACTTTGCATCTGCCCTAAGAACCTCAGCTGCGCAGACGCGTGCAGCCGGTCGAAAGGGAGAAAGAAGAAGCAAAGGGCACAGACATCACGACCATCTCCACCGACTGCCCGAGGTCTCTGCAACCCCCACCGCTCAAAAGAAAAACTCCACACTCCACACCTCCACGATTCAAGAAGAACTTAACCCCTCCAAGGATCCAACAGAACTCAACAACAAACCTATTCAGCACCTCCACCGCTCCGAAAGAGCTCAACGCTCCACCACCCGTAGCGAGTCAACAGCAGCTGCCACATCTTCATCAGCGCCCATCAGCATATACAGCACCACCACAGCAGTGGAACACCGCCGCAGCAGTGGCTTCCCAACATCTTCAGCAGCAGCAGTGGCTGCTCCATCATCTTCATCAGCAGCAGTGGATACAGCAGCACAGTGGCTGCTCCATCATCTCAGCAGCACCTTCCGACACCTACAGCTCCCGTGAAGCTCCCCCACTGCTTCTCCAGGCTACCGCAGGCCTG